GGGGGGGGGGTCGGTCATTGGTATATCCTTTTAAGCTTTGTCAATACTTGAAATGGCGGTTGTGATGTCCCCATTGAGATGAGCAAGGTCTTTAAACACTTGAGCTATTCTGATGTCCAATTTCTTATTTTGATGCTTCTTGAGATCTCAAACAGAACTGATTTGGTTAGTCTTTCCAGATGCTGAATCTGCAGTTGACATGAATGAATTACCCTTATTACCTCTGTTCCTTATGATATTTAACTGAATCTCAGTATCGCTACTCAGTCTACCAAAGCCATATAATCTTAAAAACCAAATAGTCTGATTTATAGGTTCCCGCATGCTTGAAGAGTGATTTGCGTATTCTCCCTCTTGCAGGAGAAGTTGGCTTCTGTTGAAGAGCTTGAGCCATTCATCAATCACTCGTCTCAATTGGCGGCCCTGGACTATATTGTGTCTGTTGAGAGTGACATATTCATTCCTTCATACTCCGGAAATATGGCAAGAGCAGTTGAGGGACATCGTCGATTTCTGGGGCATAGAAAAACAATATCCCCTGATAGGCAAGACCTCATTTCTAATATCTAGTCTGCTTGGAGGATTATAATTACCTCCTACTAATACTTTCCTTGTGATCATCAGGAGAACTCTTGTCCGGATTTTTGACAAAATTGACCAGGGTAGGATGAAAGAGGGGAAAAATCTGTCCAATCGCATTATCGAAATCCACAGAAGACGGTATGCTGATGTAGAGATATTTTATCTGTTTGCAAAATATAATAAGGTTGCTGATGACAGTCTTGATGCCATTGTTTAGATGGTCATGTTAAATGTCAATATAGTGGCTAGATTTCTATAAGAATTCTAACAGTTATCTGCTTGCAATTATGCTCGTCCTATCTTTCTGGAGTGATGATGCACTTTCTTTGTGGTGTGTTTGGGCAAAGGTCTGCCCTTGTATGCTCTTAGAAGTTTGCCCTAGCATCGGCCAATAACAAGTGATATCTATGTGACTTCCACTTTTAAGCCGATGACTGAAATTGCAAATTTGAGTTCTGTTGTGCTCTTACCTACTTTGTATAGGTTCTCTTGAACTCCTGTGACAAAAACAGTGCATCTTGGATTTTGGTTCTAGTATGCTGTTCTGTCCGCATTATGGAATCCTTTGCTTATGTTATTAGATTGCAGATATGGGTATTTTAACCAAGAACGGCACAAATTGGTAATATGATCTCATTGGTTTACTTCGATTATGCAGGCAAGGATCGCCTAGAAAGAGGAAAGGGCCAATTGCAGGTACAAAGGGAACGGATAGGTTCCGCTCGGAGGAGGCATTTTATGTAAATCCTTTGCCAGACTGTTTATGTCAAAAGGTATCGTCATACACGAACAATTCTCATAGTATCAGGCAGTTCAGATGAAGCACAAGACCAATGTTTTTCGGAGAAATGTGCCCAAACATTGTATTAGTGATGCTGTTTCAGTCTTATTTATTGAAGCTGGAGCAGGCACAAGCCGACTAGCATGCGGAATGTGCATATACGATGAGATTAGATTGTTCTAAGTGACTCATAGGTGTAGATGATTGAAGAAAATAGATTTCTCCATTGAGATGAGGCTTCCCATGAAGGGGAAGTTGATCAAGTCAAGAGAAGTGTAAAACATGTCAAATTTGTACAGATGGACAACAAGCTCATTGTGGAGAGTGGAGATACTTTTTTTCTCATTTACATTTAGCTCTTTCTTTTTCTTTTGGTGTGTCTATTTATTATTATTGACATTCTCAACAAAAGAAAGCAAATCAATTCAATCCTTCCCCAAAATACATCTTCTCATTTACATCTTCTCCTTGTAAATGCTTAACTTGCTATTGGGAAAAATTGTCCTTTCTTGGTATACTCTCGCTTCTTGTCTACCAGTCCTGGATGTAGAGAGGCCTCGATGCATGTATTACTTAAGAACGAAGAAGAGGCATTTTATATGTATGGTCAGTTGATACAATATATTACTCGGTAAGGTGCTTGGTGTGATTGGAAAATATTTTATAAAATGGAAATTTCAGTACTAATTTGTTATAAATATATTATATTATGGATGTTCATTTAATAATCCGTTGTAAATAAGCTTCCTCAAGAAGCTTATTTATATGAGACTCCGCCGTAAATATGTTTATCTATTTAGTACTCTATTGGAAATAAGCCACCTGAAGAAACTTATTCTTTCGGTACTCTGTTATGGATAAACATCACTTCCGCTAGAAGAATATCTATATCTGGTACAATGAGCTTATCCTTTTGGTACTCCGTTATGGATAAGCATCACCCCCGTTAGAAGATTATCTATATCTGGTATAGTAGCAGCTTACACAACAGCTTGCAGAAGCAACTTACACTAGGGGTGGGCGTCGGTCGGTTCGGTCGGTTATTATGAAAGTACGGTTCGATTTATCGGTTTTCAATTTTGTAATATTAATAACCAAATCAAACCAAAGCTTTTACGGTTCGGTGCGGTTTTTTCAAAGTTCGGTTCGGTTATTTCCGGTTTATTTTTTCGATTTTAAACGGTTGTAGGAACAACAAGTATTTACGGTTTGTAGGAACATCAATAAACAAGGCTCGAATTTATTTGCTTTTCGTCCAGCCCAACAGCAAATTGTCATTTTGACTTTTGAGAAAGACAACCCAGCAAATTGTCATTTAGTTGTTGTTTGTCCAGCCCAGCAGCAGAGAAAGACAGTGGCAGACGACAGTCTAACACAAATTTTGCTGCCAATAACACTCTAATTTGAAACTACACTATAAATGAAACCGAGAATAGACTATAGAGAACAAGTACACAGAGAGCAGGGAGGCCTTCAGTGGCATCAGTGCAAACAGAACACCTAAGTAGCAAAATACCGCATAGTTCAGCACTGGCAAACTAGTCCAAAACAGTTTAACACAGTGGCAAATCTAGCAACTACCAAAGTCCAAAATAAGTCTAGAAATACCATCACCAAACAACAAAATAGTGGCAAACTAGTCACAAGCCACAAGCCACAAGCCACAAAGTAAGTCTAGAAAATGATACTTAAAGCCTTAAATACGAATCACTGGATGAGGCATGAGACACTTCTTAATATACTTCACTAAGCCATAAGTGCCATAATACTTTGGATGACAATTATAAACTCGACCACAATGAAGGCATTTTGCTTTGCGGGCTTCTTCATTTACTTTAACTAGCTCAAAATGTTCCCAAATAGGCGATCTAGCTTTAGGACCACGAGGCATAGTTAAACCTACAAAAAAAATTAAAAAATCGAATGAAAATAGAATTAAGGTCGGAACTCCTATAAGTCTATAACAAATAGACACTATAAGAAATCATAGCTACGACGACATTTATTTAGCGACATATAATAAATGTCGAAAAAAAACTAATTCTTTGATATTAAGATTTTGTTAAGTATTTTTCTATTCTAATCTGTTGTTCACTGGATTAAATTTCTGGTTAACTGCCTTTAAAATATTTTACATGAGGTTAAAGTTTGCACTTTCTTTGATTCATCTTTTTATGTTGAAATAATTTTGTACTAGTAGTGATGAGATTATTAATATTATTTGGTTGTTCAATCGTTCTTACTGCTATAGAACCTTGAATCCATTTACTAGTACATACAGTATTTATCAAACGATTATGTGTAGATACTAATTTTTCTATGTTCATAAGTGGAAACATGTTTAATCTGTACCTTTCTCTTTTAACTTTAGAGTTTATTTACATTACTTATTTATTGTAGTGGTATGTAAAGCAAATTCTTTGCTTTTTAGGTTGGCCATCTACCTAGGCAGAAACATCCAAGCACCTTTCTCTTTTAACTTTAGACTTTATTTACAATACTTATTTATTATAGTGGTATGTAAAGTAAATCCTTTGCTTTTTCGGTTGGCCATAAACCTCCTTTGACAGAAATATCCAAGCACCTTATTATTTTATTGGTGTACTTGATTGCTTTTTGAAATTTTGAGAGAATTTGTGGTGCTTAGTACTAAAGTAAAGTTGTCCATACGTTAGACCCGATTTTGAAATATATTGAAGTGAAAGACTAAGACAGTGATACATTTTCTTTCTTCATACACAAAAGAATAACAATGAGACTAATTGAAAATCAACATCAACAAAAGACTAACAGTGAGACTAATTGAAAATCAACATACACAAAAGATTAAGACATTTTCTTTATTCATAACTCAGAAGAACTCGCACTAACCTGAGGATGAAGGATGAGCGACAAGCTGAGGAAGAAGGCGTCACAGTGAGCTGAGGAAGAAAGCGCAGAACTCACAGGAACTCAGAAGAAGTCGCAGCAGTCGGCGACGACGAGTCGCAACAGTCGCACAGGAAGAAGGAAGAACCGAAGAGACAAACTTTTCAATTGATGTAGGTTTGAGAACCCTAAATCTAATTCTTTATTTAGGTTTGGGAAATGGGAAATGGGAAGTGACTAAGTGTAATGTGTATTAGTGATTTAGTCGGTTGTAACCGATGGGTTTGGACTTTGGGTATTAGACAGACTATCAATAAGTTTAGGTTTGGGTAAACTAAATTGGGCTTCAAAGTTCAAATAGATATTGGGCTTCAGCCTAAAATGGGTAATAACTAATACCCAAAATTTTGGTTATTCGGTTAAACCGAAAACCGAAATACCAAAACTGTAAACCGCACCGAAAAACCAAAAATTAATAATTTAAAAATCGTGCACCGATTGAAAAATCGATTAAACCGAAACCGAAAAATCAAAATTAACGGTTTGGCCAATTTTTTCGGTTCGATCGGTATTATGCCTACCCCTAACTTACACAACATCTTCCTTTCTTCTATAAATAGAGGGGATTTCAGTTCATTATGCACATAAGTTTAAAGTTTGAATAATATATCAGTTTCTCTCTATACTTGTCTTTACTTTACTGTCTTTATTTTATAACACGTTATCAGCACGAGACTCTGCCATATCGAGCAAATACATTAAAACTATCAGAGGTACGGATTTTCTTTTTCTAAATAATGTAAAATCTTTCTAAACTTGAATTTGTATCCCTGAATATATCAAGTAAAAGCAACATGTCTTGGGTGCTTGATACTGAAATTCATCTTGGGTTTGGCAGACACCATCAAGGATAAAAATCAAGCATCAAACCAAGATCATGCCAAAGCAATGATATTCTTACGCCATCACCTTGATGAAAGCTTGAAAATAAAATATCTCACTATTAAAGATCTAGTCACACTGTGAAATAATTTGAATGATAGATATGACCACCTGAAGATGGTCGTTCTTTCACATGCACGTTATGATTGGACTCATCTAAGACTACACGATTTTAAATCTATCAGTGAGTATAATTCTGATATCTTCAGAATTATTTCCCAATTAAAATTATGTGGTGATAACATTACTAATCATGATATGTTGGAGAAAACTTTCACCACTTTTCATGCCTCGAATATGCTCCTGCAACAACAATATCGAGAGATGGGATTCAAAAAGTATTTTGAACTTATCTCACATCTTCTTGTAGCCGAACAACATAATGGGTTATTAATGAAAAATCATGAAAGTAGACCTACTGGTTGTTGTCCATTCCCTGAAGTGAATGAGATAAACTTTTACCAAGCTAAGCGTGGAAGAGGACGTAGCTCTAGTCGTGGTCATGTCCGTGGTCGGGGAAGAAACCCTAATCATGATAATAATAATGCACCAAAGAACCCTCATCACCACCAGCAGTGGAAAAGGAAGAAACAAAAGCATGAAGCGGTGCAAGCAGCAAAGGCAGAAAATGCATGCTATAGATATGGAGAAAAATGGCACTGGTCACGTATATGTCGTATGTCAAAGTACCTGGTTGAGTTGTATCAAGCCTCTCTGAAGAAGACAGAGAAAAATGCTGAAGCAAAATTTATTTCTGAAGATAATTTAGACTTCATGCATTTGGATGTAGCTGATTACTTTGCACTCCCGAAAGGAGAAACAAGTCATGTGATAGGTGATGAATCTGTAGAAATATAAATATTTTAATTTTTATTGTTTATAGTAGATAGTATGATTATGTAATTGTTCTACATAAATAAAAGTTATGCTTTGATAATGATTTTTACTATCATATTTATTTTTGTTTACCCTAAAAATTGAGTAAGAATTAAACTTATATTGTGGTTTTAAGGATATGTGATTTAAACTAGCACCAATTGATAAATAACGAACTAAATAGATAAATTGGACAGTAAAATAAATAAAACTGATCTGCAAACAATGCCTCGACCTTGATTCAAGATAGTCTCGAGGTTAGTTAATAAGAACAGTAGAGGATGGAACAAACGGTAATGAATAGTAAGTAAGACAAAGAAAGCAATGTATATGTATATTTTTATCAGTGAATCATGATGTTCTACAAATGATTGGAACTCCTCTTTATATAATAGAGGAAACCTAATTATGGTATGTCTCTAATTTTAGAAGAAAATCGTATAAACAACTAGTTAACCGCTTCTGATTTGGTCTGTTCCGAGATTCACGCCATGATCCTCGACTAATCACGGATATCCGTCCCGAGATTCATGTCGTGATCTTCGACCAGTTACTAATATCTCGTCATTCCATTATTATGCTTCACTCGAAGTCGGTCATACTTGGTCTCGATTATTGCTGGTCTCAGTCTCAACGTACACTTCGATCTCTAGGCTTGATGTCTTATCCTCGAGCTCGAGTCTGATTTATTACGAGGCTACCTCCGATGCAACTCTCTTGTCTCGATCAAACAGCAAAATCGGATAGGCCCGATTTTCACCGTATACAGATAGTCCC